ATTTGAAACATCATTCACCTCAGGGTTTGGTTCAAAAAAATTCCAACCCAACCTGCCCCATCTTTTTCTGGGTCAGAGCGGGTCGGGTCGCTTTTTGGAAAACTGCTGACCTGACCTGCCCCATCCTCAAATTATTGGGTCATGGGTTGGGACGGGTCTGATTGTGGGTCGGATTTAGGATTCTCATTGATTGATGTGAGGGTTGGAACTTGTGTTCATGTAATGATTGCGCAATCTATGATGTGATGAAGCAAATGAGGAGAAAAAAAACAAGAGAGTATAAAAGCAAGTCTTAGACATCATCACGTTCGTTGGCTTCCTCAAGACCATGAAGCCAATCCTGAGTACAAACAAGGGCTTCAAGAGTATCAGGATTAGTAATTGTTTGAAAGTCATCCAAAACTCTTCCAGAAGCTGAGAATGCTAATTCCGAGGCAACTGAGGTTGCCAGGATCATCAACACAGTCCGCTCAAGTTGACCAAGGGTGGGGAATCGAAGTGAGTTGATTCTCCACCATTCAAGTAGGTAAAATTGGGTCTTCGATGGGACAACAAGGTTGTTTTCTTGGAGGTAAAGGACAAGCTCACCAGTTGGCGCACTGGTTGAGCCAATAGGTGTTGTCGGAAAGCCAAGGAATCTTCATCTTCTGCCTCGCTGATGCAAACAATGTCCTCAGCATCGTCTTTCCTGCTAGATGGTTGCTTTTCATGATTGGAGGCCTTGACATATTCTTTGTACCATGAGTACAAAGCAGTTCTTATGTTCTCAATGTCGACTGCCACAACCTCCGGGGCTTCACATTTCTCCCTTAGATTGAACTAGTTTTCTGCTTCTTGGTAGGCAGCACATTTCTAACTACTTCAGAATCTTCACTTGGCCTAGAACCTGCAGCTTGATCCATCTTTTGGAGATTTTGAGATTTGACTGGATGATGGAATTGGAGTGTTTGTAGCCATGAATTAAGTCAGCACATGTTTTATGGAAAGTGAATTGGAGCTTCTGAAATCCTGGGCCCCTGGCTATCTCAAAAAGGTGGGCATCAAGAAGTGTTTGACAACTGTGACTTTTTTTTAGCTGTCTCTCAGAATAATATGAATCGTGTCTCAAGTTGTTCCACAAAAACCCAACAGCCAATTCCACACTCTCTTCTCAAAATGCATGACCCGCCCCAGACCCATCTTGGGTCTGGTCCACCCACGGGTCAACCCGGCCCACCCTCACCCAACATTCACCTGGATAGAAAGTTGCTTCATGTGTGGAGAAATTAATCCTTTCTTGGGTCAAGAACAGCTATGATGTTAGCCTCCTAAAACTGGACAACTTTCAAGAAACAGCCAGACCTATCCAAATCAGTCTTTGGCTCCACAAACTTGAGCTGTGGAACATATTTATGTCCCCCCCCCCCTGACATATGAATTTTATGACAGCATCTCCAGTAGTGCTGCAACCAGGTCATTTTCAGTTAAATCCAGTGGTTTTAACAGAGTTTTGGAGGTCCAGAAGACTCAATACGTCTTCCACATTTAATTCAATGCTTTATCCAGGCTTGATAAAAACACATTCCAATATCTGTTTTTGAAGGGGCCTTGATAGTTTCTTCACCACTTGACTAAATAAATGTTGGAATTTCACTTGATCTGATCTCCGTTCTTTTTTTTTTCTTTTTTTATTGCCATCCGGATTCAATTATTCAAGTTGTCTTATTCATTTTGATTGCTTTCTTGACCCACAAGTCAATCATCATGTACCTAGTCTACTTAATCTCGACCAGAACACTTGAAATTAATCATCAGTTCTTACCATCCTGTTCCTCTTGTTGGCACTTCAGCCCCAACACGAGCACTCTCTGCCAAGGCACTTAAGCCCCTTGGATTGAGTTGATCCGGTACTTTTACAGACATTGTCTGTTCTTTATAATTTTATAAAAAAATTACTTTTCCCTTGACTGGTCATCAGTCAAAAATTCAACAAAGAGTAGTCTGTCTATGTTCTTCAAATCATCCTATGTGTGTTTTTCTTTATTTCTTCTTTCATCTATATTATTGTTTTCTGATCTTTTCTTAGCTCTTGTTTCTGTCTATGCAATAAAATCATTGGTCCCTTAATTACATATGGTGTATCAAGTGCCTCTGGGGACAGTGTTGTGATTGAGATAGTAGATTGCTAACTGGGGAATGTACAAAGGTGTGAATGCTGAAGATAATCCCTCAGAAGAGAGTTGCTTGCTTGGGGCCTTCTGGAATGCAGAGAGGTCCATCACATTAGGGTCTGGGGCGGGGGCGCTGGTACTGGCACTGGGGACGGGTTTGGGGGCAGGGCGGCCTTGTCGGATTACTTCAATTTTCTGACCCACCTTCAGGGCCATCGCTTGCATTTACCGGAGGGAGTCAAACTCAACATTTCTCATAAACACAGAAAGCTGGATGTTCTCCTTGAGGCTGTGCTGGTAGAGGATCATGAGCGGGGTGTTGGCCCAACCAACGGTGCGGGTGTGCTGGTTGAAGTCCTACGTGTAGGCCGACATGGCTCCAGTCTGGTGGTGGTTCCGCAAGGCCACCTTGGCACAGTGCTGGCAGTTGTGATCAAGGAAGCTGGATTTAAAATCATTGAGGAAGTCATTAAAGACCACCGGTTCCCCATTGAAGACCTTGTCCAGGTACCGCTTAGACCGGTTGCTGCCTAATCCTTCATAAATGAGACCGCAAATGCCACTTTGCTGGTGTCGGTGGGGAAGCGCTTGGGGTAGGTGATAGCATGGAGGCCAATCTGGCTGACAAACACCTTGGCAGAGGCACCACGGGTCCCATTGAAGGGTTGGGGTTTGGCAAGCACCATGGGATTGGAGGCGGGATTTGGTTGAGCCGGAGCGGGGTTTTGTTGGAAAGCCGTGTAGTCATGGTGGGCCTGAGATTTTTGGAGAGTTTCCTCTGGGAGCTTGATCTTGAGGGGGCTGTGATGATTTGAGGATGATTAAAGTATTTTTAGATTTAGCAATATGTTGTGATTGAGAAAGTAGATTGCTAACTGGGGAATGCAAGACAATCCCCAGTTGGTGAAACCCCTGGCAGTCCCAGAGGGGGTTAAAAGATCATAAAAGACACAGCCAAATTTGGCAAAATTGTGAGCATGGCACTGGGCCAACCTTTTGAAACTTTGCGCTAGCATGCTCTCTATGCAGCTCTTTCTCTGCAGTTGCGCACACACTTTTTTTCTGCGGCTTTCATTACATGCAAAAACCTAATCATCAGATCTCAAAACCCTAATCTTCTCTGTCACAATCTCTTGCCTCAGTTCCTCTGAACTCAATATTCTCATCAGAACAAACCATGTTTCTTGTCCCTTGTCTTGTCTTGTCTCAAGATCAATTTTTCAACATCTCTTCAACCATCAATACAGGTGAAGCCTTAACTTTGACAGCCATATAGCTTCCAACTCAGTGAGAAATGGAACCAAAAACATCAATCTTAATCTTGCCAACCCTAATGATTATCTTCCCTCTCTCAGTTTTGTCATTTCCATTCCTCCATCCCATCTGCTTTAACTTTTCTTTCTTGAACCTATTCAAATATGTTTTTCTTTCTTCTTTCACTCTTCCCATTATCCACAGTGGATAATTAAAATAAAAAACATCTCAGTCTATTGTCTTCCAACCTTGTTGTCTCCTCTCTCTCAGTTGTCATTTGTTAATATTTTAATATCTTCTCAGGGTTTGTTTTCTCTTAATTATTGTCTTTCATTTCTTATTTCTCATGTCTTACTTGATTGTTTTCATTTCTGGTCTCTGTCTTTGAATAATATTGAATTATAGGTTATTTACAACCCCCACTTGGCACATACCAAAGTTGGGGCCGGTTCAGGCACAAGCTTTGCTTGGCCAAAGCAAGACAAAGTTTCCACACCAAAAATCAAGGTACCCCTGGGGTTATAAGCCAAGGATAAAAAACAAATGTGTTTTGTTTTCTGTACACTACCACTATTTTTTATTAGATTTTTATTATTATTTAAGATTGAATACATATATTTATTTTTATTATGGAGGAGATTTAAAGAGAGTACCATTTATGTCTTGCATCTTAGCACTAGGTCAATAGATTTGTTAACAGTGAGAAAAAAATGACTGCATTGTTTGGCTTGCTGGGTCTCTTTTGGACTGTTGTGAAGTTCTTGTGATCCTCAGTATTGATACACTGAATCTGATGCCATAGAACCTTGAGAGTCTTTTATAGCTTCAGATATCTTCATTCCATTACCATTGTCATTATCACAGATAATTTCACAGAGCTCTGGTTTAATGACTGCATTGAGCTTGCATTTCTTGTGTGTAAGTCAAGATGATTGGTACCTTTGGTGACCTTGAGAGCTTTATTTTGCCTTCCATTGATTTTATTTTGCATATGTTTGAGGAGCAATAGTATATGAAGTTCCTTGGCAAGTTCATGGGCCTTCTCTTTATTGGCCTCAATCTCAAGGTTGAATGGATCCACGACATTTGGATCAGACATGCACCAAAAAGAAGAGTCATTTGAAAACCAAGACAGAAGAAGAAATAGGAACCAAAACACTCACCTTGAGCCAATGAGCTCTTTTTGGATGATTGACTTGACCATTGACCCTGGAAGCATTGATCAAGTGGTTGATTTAGAGGCAGAACTTGGCAATGTGACAAGCTCCATGGCCAGTCAGTCCCACCCTGCTGATCAAGCCCCCTGGGCACAAATCCAAGCCAGGATGGCAGTGCACCAAGCAGGACTTGGATTTGTGCCCAATGTTCTTAATACAACATAGCAGATTTTAGCTAGATGCTTACAGAACCTCTTTTAGCTACATCATAAATCCTGAAATGCAGACAGATCCTTCCAATCCAACCAGTTAATACTATCCATAGTCTGCAGTGCCTATGGTGAAAATACACTTTAAAAAAACCCACAGGCTGATGAAAGCTTTTGTTTTTCTGTTGTGGCAAAACACACCATGAAAGGAGCCTGAGTTCAAAAGCGATTGACGACAGTGGGATTCGAACCCACGCCCGAAGACCGCCGGATTACTCGCCTGCATCAAGCACAATGAAGGAGAGTTCCTTAAGACGGCGCCTTAGACCACTCGGCCATGTCGCCATGATGCTACTGCGCGCGCGGAGTGCATATATTATCCTGCCTTCAGAGCCTTGGCATCTGCGGGAGATGTGTCGGGCAAGAAACAAGCAACAGTGAGACATGAAACAGGCGACAAGAAGAGAGTTCGACATAATGGCTAGGATAAAGAAAACTTCATAGCCATGGACTGGCTTTCCAAGATGCGCATTTCATCTGCAGGCAGGATGGGGTAACAAGGGTCAGCTCGAGCAGCAGGATGCGAATATGAGTTTCAAGGGGGCGAATAGAAATCTCACTGTCTGCCTCGATCAGCGTCCCAAAGCCGCGAGGCAGGACCAAGAAGGCCTCGAGAATTTTCTCCGACTCCGCCCTTCGCTCTTCCCCATCTTGTTTGTGTTGTTGTTGCTGAAGGTGGTGATGGTGGTGAGATATTTTTTTCGAGACGATCCATTGGCCCGACGATGTCCTCAAAAAGGCTTCCTCAAACAAGCTTTTAGATCCGGGACTTAGAAGGCATCCGGAGAAGGACACGACGGCGAGAGAAAGATACATGAATCAAGTAAGGAGAACGTTTCCCCAAATATGAAGTAGCAGAGAGGATGAAGAAGATTCAGGAACTAACGTCGCTCGTCCCGGCGTCCTGCCGTCCAAGAGTTGCAGAAGGCCAAGTGAGGCCTCCACTTCATCGGGAGGGATAGCTTTACCGGGCCAAATCTCGTTCTTAGAGAGCCAGCCAAAGTGGGGCTGGGATTGTAGGCAGAAGCAGCCACCGTTGAGTGAGTCTCTGATTAAGAATCGTTGGCGGGACATTTTAAGTGGCCGTCGTTTGGCATCCGATGTCGTCATCTCTGGTGTTTTTGGCGCTTCACTAGCCACAAAAAAGGTTCGCTTTGTTGGCTTATCTTCGGCCCAGAAGGCAAAACATAAAAGGTATAGGACTCACTTTGGACTACCCTCAGGCCACCCACATTCAACAAATCCGTCGAGGACAGCTCTGGCCTGCAGAAGCGCCTCCTTCGTCTCCACTTCCGAGAGCCTGATGATGGAGCGTGAGGATTGCAGATCATTGGATGGTTCAGCGACCCAAGCCAACATCCACCTTTCGCTCTACGAATTTACAACGAGAAACGAAGGAGACCGTGTGTTAAGAATCTGAGACGATAGTATCCCATAGAACTCGACATGTTGCTTACATGAATCCAATAGACTGAAGTCACCAGACGGCCACCCTTGACGTAGATTTCGATTTCTTTGGAGGGTGTCGTGTTTGGCGATGAGGATGGAAGCCTGACAGGTGCAGGGCTGCAATTCACGAGGGGGGCGTCGGATGGGGGCCCAGAGGAAGTGGAGAATGGCTGGGATGGGACGGACTCCAAAGCAGCTAGGTTGCCGATGCTACGCTCAGACATCGCGTCGGCCAGGGCATTCTCGACGTTAAAGCTGGGTGAGCGTGGGTTGTGTTTCGAGCGACTGGAGGACGAGGAAGCTTCAGGATGACCTTTTGGCGGTCCAGTTGCTGCTGGGACCAGTGGACCCTGTGCAGCCATCGGAGGGGGGTGCATCACATGGCCGTCTTTCGCCGAAATAGACGCTGACATAGATTCGTATATGTTTTCGAGGTTGTGAGGATAGTGGGTGGATCGATTTGAGGGGGTTTTGTCTGGAGAATAAATCATAAGAAGGTTGTATGGATAGCCCAGCTTGGTTGGTGAGGAGATCTGGCTGGCCACTGCGATGGATGTATCAAAAGGGGTGAGGGGCAAGGAGTGAACAGGAGGCGTGCATTAAGCGATGAAATTATGATTTCTACGCCACACACCAGTTGAGGATGCCGCCCTTTGCGGTGGACGTGGGGTAGGACTAGGAATAGCCTCGGTTACTAGTTCGGGGTTAGAGAGTGAGGATTTGATGCGGAGGAGCTGGGACGGGGCAGTCCTAGGAGGCAAGCCGATATCCGCGCGGAGAAGCTGGTCGAGGCTGTCGGCCTCGGCGGCGTTGTCAAAGGGGTTGACCGGCAGGACGAGGGAGGTGGATGCCCATTTAAACGCTCTGTGGGCCCAATCACTCGCCGGCTGGAGGGTAAATGTTGTCGATGGGAGCTTGGGTTGAAAATTCGCGAGGGAAGCCAAGTCAATAGTCGATAGCCTCTTCATGATCAGGTTCTGCTCATCTTGGGCCGGCTTTGCTTTCGGGGGGGATCGTGCTTGTGCCCGCTTGGCCTCGCTTCCTCCTAAGAGGCTCAGCAGATATCGGACTAGGGTGGTGATGTCCTCGCGATGGATGAGCTCGGTCGGAGAAGGCAGGTACAGTACTTTTTGATCGTGGATGAGGATCGGAAGGATTGAGATGTTGGGACATATTTGAGTTGCAAAGCGCGTGAATTCATGAACGAGAGCTCGAGGGAGTTTGGGTGACTGTAAAAAGGGCGATTGTAAACCTATATCTTGAAGCTGAGAGTTAGAACAGTTGACTGATAGATAGGGGTGTGTGCGATTATGACAGACCACCAAAGAGTTCGTGGAAGTCGACCGCCCCACACCCGGTCTTGCCGACGTTCCATCTCCACAGCCAGACGGACCAAAATTGCTCGAGCCTCTCGCGCAATTGTTGGGGATGATTGACGAGTAGCAAGTCCATGGATCCATGTAGGAGAAGGTACTCCTGAGCGGCGCAGGAGAGTGAGTTCAGTAGGACGGTGTCAGATGGTTCGTAGTTGGATGTGGACGGTTGTTGTTTGGATAGAATGTTGAGGGTATCGGATAATTTCGAGGAGGTGGCTGGAGATGATTTCTGCGGTAGGTTGATGACCTATTCTAATATAATATATATATATATCTATTTGAGCATCAGTTCAGCTTATCTCAATTTTGAAATGAATGAAAGTTCCTCACCGCAGCGAGATAGAACGATGGTTCTGGCTGGAGGAAGAGTATCTTGTGGTTCTTGGAGTGTACCACTTTGAGTCCATCCTCGTTGTTAAGCCCATGGCAGAGTACGTGAGTGAAGTTGATGAGCCCCCTGACTAGTCCGATTAGCCTGTTCTTCTTCTCCTGGTCGATTGATGGTTGTTCGAGATGAGTGAAGTAGAGTTCAGAGTGAGTTTGAGTTGACCAGATGATGAAGGACGATAAGACTGGAAATTGGTGGTTCATCTTGGGATTGTTGATCAGTTGGTTGGTGTGAAGTTTGTGTCAGTGTAAGCTTGATCTTGATTCTTGTGCGATGCAGCGAAGTGGGAAAGTGATACTGATTTCGCCACTTTCAATGGTCTGGATGCAACTGCCCGCTCATGACCACCAACCACGCTGATCACCATCAGCCATCCAGCGGGAAGGGTCAGGGCGCATACATTCGGACCGCGGAAGTGCATGACGTCACAAATCAACGATCAGTCATCCTGAACTCAAGTTACTCACCACTTCTACGTAGATATACTATTTTTGGTTGCTGACCGGGCATTAAGAAATGTCCACAATCACCTCGCGCCCCTGTACTGCGAGGCCCGAGACCGTCGATCATAACCCAAGCGAGCAATTGGGATATTGGATCGTTGCCGTGACCGAGAGTCGCGGCGTGGGCAGGGAAGTAGGCATCGTTGGCTTCGAGCTCGAGTTCGGTCAAGTGGTACTTTCTCAAGTAACATACTCCTCTTGCTCCCAAGTTAATCCAGCGAGCTGACTCTGCACCAATACCAATCAAATTTGCCGTAAATGTTCTGCATGGTGTAGCTGGCTGACTCCCAAACTTACGCCAAAACGATACATTGGCTCCGCCAAGTTGGTGGTCAACAGACACTCTATCAAAATTACTCCCATTGATCATGGCTCTCAACACTTTTTACAGAGACCGCCATCGTACTTGCTTTTAGTTGCACCCGCCTCACCACATGCCTTAACTATCCTACACACCACGCTCAAACATCTCTTCTCAGCAGTCTCTCTGACTGTTCTTCCACGAGCTAGCTTTGCCTCCGAGAAAGGTTACTCGCTACTGAAAGACTTGTGTTCTCCTGGCCCTCAATCCGACGCCACATTGGCTGAAGTCAGGCAAAAATACTACACCCTCGGCGCGGCTTCGGCAGTCATCGACTGGATTCAGAAAACACTGATTCAAACAGGGAAGTATCACTGGGAAAGACATTCTTTAAATGTCAAGTGGCTCAGTGTTGAAGGCTGCATGTTGGTCGATCGTAATACCGCCTTGGACTTAGAATTGATCAATAACGTCAGTAGTCAGTACTTCTCTCTTAACACGCGCTTCAAAATTACCTTTTAAGTAGATCAATCTAGTAGGCTATTTCCTCCAAAACCAAGCGGAGTCTTTTCGGCTTACTAAATCACACGTACACGCCTATGGCTAACCGTCTGGTGAGCGGTCCATTCTCTCCTTTGCACTACAAGAAACTCACGGCTTGAATCATATATTTAATGGCGGTTGACCAATTCATTTCAGCTGCGAAGTAACTTACTTGCACCCCCTACAGATATTCAAGTGATCGAGGGCAGGCTTGATGCTGTTCAGGAATTGATTGAGTTGGAAGACTCCTTCTTCAATCTTCGTAAATCATTGAAAATGTCAGTACGTTCTGGGCGCATCTCAAGTCATTTTCCAGAGGCTGAGAAGGTTTTTTTTTTGCTGTCCTTCGGCTCGGCCCTTTGAAGCTTGAGCCAGATAGATCTTGACAAGCTAATTAGTAGAATTAATTCCACGGAACTTGCTAGTAGCAGGTTAAGTTCGCGCTCTGAATCTGGCAGTCGTACAATAACAACCTTAACTTCATCTTCCAAGCAAAGGAAATCGTCAACACAAGACCCTTCCTTGGCGATAACCAAAAAACTCGAGCTTTTGAAGTCACTTCGAATTATTCTTCGCTCCTTAAATCCAATCCGGAGTGCACTATCATCCTGCTCCAGCGAGTTGCTCCGCCTAGCTTCAAACATATTCCAGGAGTCTTTCCTCCATGAACTGTCTTCAGTCATCGAACTCCACGTGAATGAAGATTCTTTCATTGGAATTCAAAA